GACACAAGACAAAACATGCTGTCGTTGAATCGTCGACCCTCGCTTTCTCGGTCACCAAAATATACAGCTTGGTCACAGGAATGCAAAACTTTGGAAAGCAAAACCTTACCGCCAAATACGGTACATTCATCGGGTAAACATGCCGCTTGCAAGTGCTTTTTCACACATAATAAGTCACTTGTAGAAACAGGAACTTGACAGACTTGTCCCTAACGTCGAGCAACGAAAGTGACTCTTCTTTGCAGAGTCATTTGTTGGAGAACGACTGTCGACACAGCAGATCGTCCGAATGCGATTTCAGCTCGACACAAGTGATAGAGTAAATCTTTCGTTGAACGTTCATTCGTACTGTACAGAAGATGATTTTTCTGAAGAGTCATCGACAACTGCCAAAAGCTGGTACGAACGAAAGAACGTGTAAGTAAATTTTCTTTCTGTCTTGCCACTTGCCACTGATCTGGAAACTGCACCAAAATCGGCAACACCCAGAACAGCTGATCGCAAATGCTGCCATGCCGTTCAAAAGTAAAATTCAAAACAGGGTTTCTCAGACGCTGGAATATCACTATCGAATACTACGAGTAAAAAAATCAGCATTTTCCATGAGGACCGTTTGAGGAAAACGAAGATCTAATAGTCGAAGCTATTTGCATGCCCATTTCACTGATCTCCATATTCCGCACTTTATCTGGCTCTAATTCACGACGTGTGTGTGTATGTGTGTGTTTTTGTGCGCGTGTGTGTTTGTGTGTGTTTGCGTAATTGTAGGAGTCGTCCTTGTGCAGTAGGCAGTTTGTTTCACTTCATAAATGAACGCGGCTCGATTAGAAATCAGATGGTTAGTCGAATGAAACCAATCGCTAATCGGGTTTAAATTCCAGATCTTACTTTCTAGGAAAGTGGTAAACGGTAAATATTGGTTTGCGGTTAGCGCTACAGCAAGTTGCTAAAATGACGGTATTTCTCAGCAAATTTTTCTGTAAAGGAGTGAGAGCGCTAGACGGAGTAAAGTGGGTTCGTTCCCAGCTCACATAACGAACAACTCGCTTGTCAGCTGCAACTCTATGCTGTGCACAGAACGATATATAATACGGTGAATGGCATGTAGTCGGTACAACATAAGCATAGGATGTGCCTAATGCAGACATAATTAGGATTGTCAGCACGTACACTCTATTAAATACTGTAAACATAGATTCACAGGTATTTAGCAGTGCACAGCGTAGAACAGAGTAACATATATTGTTAATGCAAAGCCCTATGCTGCACCCCCTCAGTTCATATGCAATATGTAGGATGTACTTTTCACGATTTGCAGTACCACATATAGTTCTGTGTGTAGTGCGTATTTCCTATGCTGTACTTGTCTCAGGAGTATGCTGCACCCATGATGTAATTTACATTATACACGACATAATGTACCGTATTGTGTAGAGTGCATAATAGACTAT